ATGACACGGTGCCGCTCCTCTGACAGGCAATGGGAGCTGCTGACTTCCACATCCTGGCTCTCGACTACAGAGGTAAAGTCACCCCCCCCTGCCTCTCGCTGAGTGACCCCCCCAGGGCCAGTGTCCCACCCCAGGTCATGACGCCCAGCCGTGTCCCCCGCAGGCTACGGGGACTCCAGCGGGCACCCCACGGAGAGCGGCTTCCCCACGGACGTCCTGGCACTCTACGACTGGGCCAAAGCACGGAGTGGGAACAGCAGCATCCTCTTCTGGGGACACTCTTTGGGGACGGGGTAGGTGCAGGGCCGGGTGATGGGGCGGGGGATGCCCCGTGGGTGCCGGCTGATGCAGGAGCCCACAGCTGGTCCCCGGGCTGTGACGCTGCTGCCAGACCGGTGCCACCCGGGGACGGACCAAGGGGTTGGAGCAGCTCCTCGGTGGAGGCACCTGCAAAGCAAATCCTCATGTGCAAGGGGGGAGTCTGAGGGTGCTGTGCATCCCACCGGGGTGTCACGGCTGCCCCCCCCCACCTCCACCTCTCTTCTTGCAGGATTGCCACGAACGTGGCAAGGAAACTGCAGGAGGACCGAGGTAAGGGCCAGCGTGGCTGGGTTGGCCCTGTGCAGTGTCCCCCCGGGGCTCTGCATGTCCCTGGACAGATTTTGGGGGCCGCAGAGGAGCTGGGGAGCCCCGCTGCTCTCTGCTCGAGCATCTGGCTTGGCCCCCTCGGCGGGGACAAGTGGCCATCCCCATCCTCCTTAGTGGGATGGGGGGGGCATCTTGGCCTCATGGCTGCTCCTTGGGACAGGAGCGTGGCAGCAGCCCGGGGGGGGACAGCCCCCCCCCCCGCAGCCATGCCTGCTCTCGCCCCGCTCTGCCCTCAGGGGTCCAGGTTGATGCTGTCGTCCTGGAGTCGCCCTACACCAACATCCGTGAGGCGGCCGCCCACATCCCCATCACCAAGGTGAGCCCAGGGGCTCTGCCCGTGGCATCCCCCAGCAGCGATGGGTGGGGGGGCTCTGCCCCCAGGGTCCCCCAGTGGTGACGGGTGGGGGGGCTCTGCCTGTGACATCCCCCAGCAGCAATAGGTGGGGGGCTTTGCCCCTGGGGTCCCCCAGTGCTGCCAGCCCCAGCTGCCCGGGGTTCTCCCCCGGCAGGGGAAGGGTGCAGCAATCAAAGCCACGACTTAGCAACCCCCCAACTCTCTCCCTGGCAGATCTACCGCCAGTTCCCGGGTTTCGAGTACCTCATCCTGGACTCGCTAGCTCTGGGCAACATGTTCTTCCACAGCGACGAGAAGTGAGTGCCCGGAGGGACGGGGCGCAGCTGTCCCTGTGGGGCGGGCCGAGGAGGGGCGGGTTGGACATGTCACACCACGCAATCCCTGCGCTCTTATTTGTGTTTGCCCAGCTTACTCATGCTTTAAAAGTGTCTTTTTATTTGCATAATTTCAGATACCAATATTACTATTGAGCAAAGTCCACAAGCCAACATCCTTTTTTTGAGCACTGGGTGCTCGAGTCCCACCCACACTGCAGCGCACACACTGTGTGGCGGCAGGCTCCTTCCCCCTCCGTGTTTGTGGGCGCCTTTGCTAAAAGCCACCTGGTTTATGGGTGTTTTTGAAGCCCGAGCACCGTGTGTTGGGGGTTTAAGGTTGTTAGGGTGCTTGGTGCTGCCGTGCTGTGGGCATCACCCTGGGGCAATTCAGCTGCCCTTAGCCACCAATGGGCTGGGATGGCTCTGAAAGGCAGCACCTGGGCGGGGGGTCAGGGTTGCTGTGGGGGTTTTAGCAGCACCCAGGGAGGCTCCTGCAGGTCTGTTGGCTCCGGGGGTGACTCCTCAATGCTGTGCTTGCTGCCCGCAGCGTGAAGGTGCTGGCCTGCCCGCTCCTCATCCTGCATGCAGAAGATGATGCTGTGCTGCCTCCGCACCTGGGCCGCAAGGTGGGAACCACCATCGCCTCCGCGCGGGCTTTGACAGGGATGGGTGCTGGTTTAGCCCGTTTTCAGGGGGCTGAAGGGGAGAGAGAGGGGGTGGCTGGCCCCAGGGTGCTGGAAAGGGGTTTGGGGTCCCCTGTGCATGCCGCTAACAGTGCTCCCACCCCATGGCAGCTCTTCGAAACCGCACGCAGCGCCTACAAGGACAAAACCAAGGTGAAGTTCATTACCTTTCCTGAAAAGCTGGGCCTGGGCCATGACTACATCTCGTTCAACCCAGAGCTGCCCACACTGGTGAAGTAAGTGCTGCTCTGCAGAACTGGAGGGGGGGCCACAGAATGAGCCTTGGCCTCTTCTTCCATGGGTGCATCCTCCCCTGCTGCAACCGTGCAGGTGCCTTCCCCCTGCTCCTTCCCCTCCCTACGGTGCTTGCTGTCATCAATTTTTGAGCTCCAGTCACTCCTCGCTGCCCTGAGCCTGTCCTTGGCCCAGGTGTCATGGGGAGGTGGCCCCGGGGACAGCCCCCAGGCTCCTCTTTGCCCTGGGTGCAGGGATGCAGCTTTGCTCAGCTCAGACCCACAGCCAGGGATCAGAAACGGGGATCTCAAGCAGCACAGGACAGTCAATGATACAGTGTGAGATTTATTGCATCTTGTTACAGAGACTTCTTGAACATTAAGTGATGCCAGCTGCTGCATGCAGCAACCGCGAGCGCTCCCTCAAAGCCACACCAGGAACCCCTCATTGCACTGAACTTACTGCTGTACGTAATAAAAACTACTGAGAAACTTTCTAATTCGCCCACTGCCTCGAGGATGCTGCAAGGTTACTTGGGGGGTGGAGATACTGCTGCGATCTGGGTGCTGCTCCTGGGACAGGACCATGCGAGCGGTGGCCAGGAGCATCATATGGGGCAGTGGTGGGGGTACCCCAGCCTGACTGCAAACACCCCTTAACCCCCCCTGGCACTGATGCCTCAGGACTGGCAAGAGCTGCACCCCAAGTCCTGCTTCAGCATCGCCTGCAAGGGCTCAGATAGCTGTGGCCAGCTGGGCTTCCCCCCCTGTCCGTGAGCCCCAGCAGCTCCCCCTCTGCCCCCTCTTTCTGCGTTAGCATTGGTGCAAGTGAGCCCAGTCCCTAATTTTAGGCTTCAGCGAACAGCCCCTTGGACTCCAATGGCACTTTTATTTTTAGCACCTATGCAAGCAACAGGGCTACGTGGTTTTGCTTTCCGCACGACACTTACGTTATAAAAATGCTCCCCCCCTTCTCCATCCGTAGGAAAGCCAGCAGCAGCAGCATAGAGACTAAACAGCAGAGACAATTTTACAACACACACGCTCGTGTCCCCCGGCTCCGGCGGCTCTGTGCCCCTACGCCGCTGTGCCATTGGGGGTCTTGTCCTCAGCCACGTCCCGGGGCTCGTTGGGCGGCGGGATCTTCAGGTCGGAGGGCTCCACGTGCCAGATGTCCCGGGCGTACTCCTTGATGGTGCGGTCACTGGAGAACTTGCCAGCCGCCGCGATGTTCTTGATGACCATCTTGGTCCATGCCTTGGAGTTCTGCAAGGAGAGTGGTGGGATGGTGCGGCCGGAGGCTTGCACCCGTGGGTGCCATGTTGGCCCCGAGACTGGCTTTCAACCAGGGACCCCCTGCAGCAGCATAGCCAGGTGCCTCCTCGCCGGGAACCCATCTATGTGCACAGCCCCACCAGACCCCTTCTCCGGGATAGGATGTTGTGCCCCCAGCACAGCTCCCCCACCTCGCCCCCGGGGCTGGCACTCACCAGGTACAGCTCGCTGACCTTCTCTTGGCATTTGACATAAGCCTCATAGTCTGCAAAAAGTTTAAACCTGCAGCAGCAAAGAAAGGGGGGTTAGCGGTGGCAGAAACGCACAGGTGGGAGCGCGGCAGTGGCCGGTGGCCGCAGCGCACGGGGCTCAGGCTGCCAGATCCGGGGCTTCTTCAAACATGAGTGCTTCAGGCGAATTTGGCCTCCCCAAGCCCTGTTTGTACAGGGCCCTGCAAGCCCACGGGCGCTGCGGCGCGGGCTGGATGGGTGGCCCGGGAGGGGACACCCTGCCTGCATCAGCTCACTGGGAGAACATTTCCCCGGTGCAACCGCCCACGGCCCTTGGCTGCTTAGTGCTCTGGCCGGGAAAGCCCTTGAGATACCTAAAAGCATCTACCATCTGGCAAGGGCCGTGCACCCGAATGCATCTTGGCCATGATGTACCCCAGGCTTTAATGCAGCAAGCGTGAAGTGCTGCACGTGGAGAGCCTTTTGTACCCACGGAGCATCAACTGCTCGTCCACGTGCACAACGTTAGGGCCAGAAAATGGGACCTTATCAGCCAGAGGGTGGATGGTTGGTGCAGGGGGCTGCTCTGCAGAGGCACCAGGAGTTTGGTGGAGAGACCCAACCCAGGGGATGGATGGCATCCCAGGCCTCACCGGTCGTGGTGGAAGAGCATGTTGACCACATCTTTGAAGAGGTCAGGCTCCTTCGGGGAGAAGAAGCCACTCTTGATCTGGTCAATGGCTTGCTTCAACTCGGGGAGCTGGTCATAGTACTCCTGGGCATTGTACCTGGCAGGGAAGGGTTGATATGAGATGGTGCTGCTTCGGCTGCCTGTGGTAGCACCCCCGCAGCATCCCCAGCCCTCACCCTTTCCTATCCAGCTCCGTGACGTCCTCCACCCTCATGCCGAAGATGAACAGGTTTTCCTCTCCAGCCTCCTCGGCCATTTCCACGTTGGCTCCATCCATGGTGCCAATGGTCAGAGCTCCGTTCAGCATAAACTTCATGTTCCCCGTACCCGATGCCTCAGTGCCTGCCGTGGAGATCTGCTCCGACAGGTCGGTAGCAGGGATCACTGCCAACAAAACACATGGACACAAGGGGCTCACGGTGACCAGCTTTGGATTTGTATCCTGCTGAAGGACGTTAGATCTGCTGTCTCGCAGTGATGGAGCCATGGGCTGGTGAACAGCCACAGGGCAGACATTGCCCCACAGCGTACCCCACGTGGGCTACCTTTCTCTGCCAGCGAGACCCTGTAGTTCTCCAGGAAGATGACCCTCAGCTTGCTCCCCACAACGGGGTCGTTGTTCACCACCTGAGCCACAGCGTTAATGAGCTTGATGATCATTTTAGCCATGTGATATCCTGGGGCAGCCTAGGAGAAAAGGCACGGGTGAGCCTGGAGGGCTGGTGCCAGGGGCAGGCGAGGAGCACCCAGCTCCCACATGCCCAGGGAAGCACCCGCTCAGCCCTGCTCCCATCCCTCATCCAACTCATGGGTTCTGCCACCAAGTTTTTGGGGGCTTGCATGACCATAGGCAGCAGAACCTCGCTCGGGTTGAAGCCAGCAAGTGCTGCCTCAGGGCTTCCCAGAGGGCTTCGGGGACACAACCCCATGAGAACATCTGCATCCAAATCCCCTAGGGCATTTTCAGGGACTTCCTCCAAAATGCCTAAAACCCCTGACCCAACTTACCTTGCCCCCAATGATCACTGTCCTCGGCACAAACAGCTTCGCAGGATCCCTCCTGATGCCTGGAGAAGACAGCAGCGTGGTGTCACCCTCTGTTTTAGCTGCAACCCCGAGGGCTAGAGATGCTCGTGCCCCCCCAGGGCGGCCTGTCCCCTCGGGGCGTGCGGTGGCTTACGGTTGTACATGGTGATGACGTGCAGGCAGTTCATCAGCTGCCGCTTGTACTCGTGGATCCTCTTCACGTGCACGTCGAACATGGAGGAAGGGTTGATCTTCACTTTGTACTCCTTCTCCAGGTACAGCGCGAACTTCACCTTGTTCTCCTGGGTGAGGGCAGGGGGAGCACGTCAGCCCCCAGCCTGTGCTCCCCCATGCCCGTGCCC